GCGCGTGCCCAGTTCACCCACCCCGGGCCTTGTGCCAGGCCCCGCCCCCGCCCCCGAGGCCCCACCCCCGCCGCCAGAGGCCCCGCCCACCAGCTGCCGGCACAGATCCTCCTTGCGCCGGGCCTCGGCAGCCGCGCTTCGGCCTCGCTCGTGCAGGGCCTGGATCTCCGAGACGCGCCGGGTCGACTCCAGCTGCGGGGGGACAAGGGGGGCGTCAGCAGAGGAGAGGCCACCCCCAGCGAGGAGCCCCGCCCCCGCGGAGAAGCCCCGCCCCCACGCTCACCTGGCGGGAATGGCGGGCGGCCCGGAGGTGACGATACTGATCCACGAGCGGCCCCCGGCGCGTCTCCCACTGCGCGGCCAGGTGCACCAGGCGCTGGGCGCTGCTCTCCACCAGCAGCTGGGGGGGCGGGGGGGTCAGCGCCGCCTCGACTTCCAGCCCCCCAACATCCCCCGTCCTCCCGGCCCCCCACCTACCCAGGCCCCCCAACACTCCCGTCCTCCCGGCCCCCCCACTACCCAGGCCCCCCAACACCCCCGGTCCTCCCAGCCCCCCACTTCCCAGGCCCCCTAACACCCCACCCTCCCGTTATCCCCTTAACCCTGCACACCCCCCTCCAACCCCAGTGCCCCCCCAGCGTATCCCCCCAGCCCCCCGGGCCCACTCCCACAAACTTCCTCCTCCCCAAGTGCACCCCACGAGCCCCCTCCCCGATACCCCTCCCCCGCAGCCCGTCCATCCCAGGCTCAGCCCCCCCCCATTACCTGCAGCTTGGCCAGGTTGTTCTCAGCCTGGGGGAGCAGCTCCAGGGCCCGGCTCTTCACCTGCAGGGTCTGTTTGCGCCCCCCCAGAGCCAGCCGCTGCTGCCGCAGCCCCGCCTCCGCCTGGGGGCAGAGAGATCAGGGGAGCACGACCCCCCCCAGCACCCCCCTGGCCCCACCTCCGCCTGGGAGCAGAGAGATCAGGGGAGCACGACCCCGCCCCCAGCACCCCCCTGGCCCCACCTCCCCCTGGGAGCAGAGAGATCAGGGGAGCACGACCCCGCCCCCCGCCCCGCTTCCCCCTGGGAGCAGAGAGATCAGGGGAGCACGACCCCGCCCCCAGCACCCCCCTGGCCCCACTTCCCCCTGGGAGCAGAGAGATCAGGGCAGCACGACCCCCCCCCGGCCCCGCCTCCGCCTGGGGGCAGAGATCAGGGTGCCCGGCCCCCCCAGACATGGCCCCCCCGCCCATGGAGAAATGCCCCTGGCTCTCACCTGGCTGAGGCTCAGCTCCAGGACCTTCACCTCCCCCCTCACGGCGTCCATCTCGGCCTCCAGGCGCTGCAGCTCCCCCCGCAGGTTGGCCAGCTCCTCCTCCTGCCGCGCCTGCACCTCCTGGGGAGGGAGAGGGCGGGGTCTCTAGGCCAGCATGGAGGGGCAGTGGGGAGCACCCTGGGAACAGCCCCCCCACCAGCTGGCCAAGTCCTACCAGGGGGCAGGGGAGGAGAACCCGCCATCATTAGGGTCCAGGGTTAACGACCAGCCAGGTGGGAGCTCTGAACTTCCAGTTGTGTTGGGGTCCCCCAGAGCACCATCCTGCACCCTGTATCGAGGTCCCCCGTCCCCCAACTGCTGAGAGCTCCCCCTCCCCTGCTCTTTATGGGGGTCCCCCTCTCTCCAGCAAGCACCCCCTGTGACGTTGTGCACGCCATATGATTTTATAAAAATATGCTAACGGGTGACTAGGACGTAACTAGAACATGCTTCACGCCAAAGGGCTCTCGTACGGGATAATCTCCGGAGCGTGGCCGTTGTGTCTGTATAAATGTCTCACTCATGGATCTGGGACTAGAAATAGGAACTAACTCGGGGGGCCTGTTGTCATGATGCCAAGTGGGGGCCGTTCCTGGTGGCTCCCGTTAGCCGGGACAATTGGCTGGGGGTGGCTCTGTTTGCAGGCAGGGCCCTGGGAGCCAGGCTTGGGGGGCTCCCAGGACATGTGACCAGGTCACCCGGGCCTGGAATCCATCTTAACCCTGGGGCTTTTCCAGTGGGGGGGACGGGACCCGGAGGGACGAAGGGTTCCTGCCTTGGGCCAAGGCGATATAAGGGGGCGACAGAGATGAGAAACCCCCCAGCTCCCCCCCGAGCTGGAACAAGGGCCGTGCCGGGGGGGGTCGGGCCCAGACTAGGAAGGGGTCTAGGCTGTGAAAGAAGCTCATTGGAACATCTCGGAGGCTGAGATTTTATCTGGACTCAGTTGTGTTACTGTATTAGGCTGAGATTTGCGTGTTTTATTCTATGTTGCCGGGTAACTTACTCTGTTCTGTCTGTTACTACGTGGAACCACTGAAATCCCACTGTCTGTATTTAATAAAATCACTCGTTCCTTATTAATTAACTCAGAGTGTGTGTTAATACCGGGGGGGGGGGGGAACAGCCGCGCATCTCTCTATAGAGGGGGGACAATTCATGAGTTTACCCGGCATAAGCTTTACACAGGGTAAAACTGAATGATTTGGGGTTAGAGCCCATCGGGCGTCGGGGGGCTAAAGGCGGGAGCCCCCCTGTGAGCGGCTGTGGGTCAGGCCCAGCAAGTCGGGGGGCTGGGGCCCCGAGCTGGCAGGGAAGCAGAGGGGGTCTGGGCACATCAGGTGGCAGCTCCCAGGGGGTTTCTGTGACCCAACCCGTCACACCCCCCACCCTGCCCCGAACTGGGGGCCCCCCTGCTACCTGCTCCGAGGTCTTGGAAGACGGGAGAGTTTCCACCGCCGCCTGCATCTGCCCCACAAGTTCCTGAGGGTCCTGAGGGGCCACAAGGGGGCAGTCACAGGGGGCGTCTCCCCTCAGCCCCCCCCCCACCGCCCCCCCAAATTTCCCAGAGTCCCTCCAGAGCCCGGAAAACTCCACCCCCCATTCCCTCCCCGGCCCCCCAAATTCCCAAGTGTCCCCCAACCTCCTAGGTAGCCCCTAACCCCCACAATCCCCCATCCGCCCAGACACACCCAAAGTCTGCCCAGTACCCCGAGTTCTGAGCCCCCCAGCTCCTCCCCATGCCCCACAGCCCCCCAACTCCCCCGGTACCTGTTCGTGCGCCAGGCGCTGGGCGTGGCTGAAGCGGGACCCTTGGCGAGGGGCCCCCCGGTGCCCCCCATGCCCAGCAGCTGGGCCAGGTCGGGCGCCCCTGGCTGGGGGGGGCCGGCGGCGCCATGGGGGGGGGCGGCCTGACGCAGCTGGTCCAGCAACCGGCGCTGGAGCCGCTGACGCTTCCACTGCACGTACTCCTGGGGGGA